CGGCTCCCGGAGGTGAGTGGGGCCGCGGGTCTGAGGGCTCCCTCCCGCGGCCGGTACCCGGCTCCCCGCGTGTCCCGGGACAGAGGTGCGGGCTCAGGGGGCGGGTATCCCCCAGCCCAGTCCCGCTCCGTGCCGGGGGGCGGGTGGCTGCGCGCCCCTCGCCCTCCTCAGCTGAGTTCTCCGGGTGGACGCGCCCGCAAGGTCCCGGTTTATTATTTTAAAATCCTGCCGAGGGAAGCGCCGAAGAGGCCGCGGTGTAAAACTTCAGAAAAACTTCAGAGCCGCGCGTCCGTCTCCCGGCACTGCCAGGTTGGCGGGGCGGCAGCGAGGGCTCTGATTCACCGCCCTGTCCCCGCCGCCAGCCTCGGGCCTTCCCGGCCTGTTTTCCCGGGATCACGCAGCTGTAAAACGCTGCTCAGTGCGGAAGCGCTGCCGCTCCCCGGTGTTGGACAGACCCACCAGCGGCCTCCCAGCTGCTGATGGCCTCTCCCCGCGCAGGTAATGCCCCCCCCGGTGTGGATCCGGAGGCCTTCTCCTGGTTCCAGGCGGTCGATGCGGATCGCAGCGGGTACATCTCCGTGAAGGAGCTGAAGCAGGCGCTGGTCAACTCCAACTGGTCAACGTTCAACGATGAGACCTGCCTGCTGATGATCAGTGAGTCTGGGCTCTCCTTGCTCTCCTGCTGCTTTTTATTCTGGTCTGAGACAAGCCTCAGGCGGGGCGAAGCCCAGCCCAGCTTGTGCTCCTCTGTTTGGGCATCGTTACCCGAGCGCTGCCCTGTGAGCGCTCTCTGGAGCAGCTCTGGGCGTCCTTTTGGTGGAGGACGTGAGTCAGGAGCCCAAAATGCTGCTTGGGAAAGGGAACGCAGCTCTGCGTGAGGCTGAGCGAGCCCCTGCTCCCAGAGAGCAGGGAGGAAAGGGACGGAGAGCTCCAGGAGCGAGGAGAGTCACCCTGTTCCCCTGCTTGCCCTGGCATCGAGGTTTGGTGCCGTTTCCTCCCAGCCTCTCGGGGATTGGGAGGGCCTGGCTGGTCGCAGTCCTGCTGAGGGAGGGCTTTTGGGGCCAGAGCAGGAAGCCGTGGCACAGGTCCCGAGCGCTCTGCGGCGTGTCGCTGCCCTGCTCCTGCGCTTTGCTTTTTTCTTCCCCAGACATGTTCGATAAGACCAGGTCAGGACGCATAGACGTGTACGGCTTCTCAGCCTTGCTGCGCTTCATCCAGCAGTGGAAGAACCTTTTCCAGCAGTATGACCGGGACCAGTCAGGCTCCATCAGCTTCAACGAACTCCAGCAAGGTGGGCGAGGGGCAGAGACACCAACCCAGCCCTTACCGAGCTCCCTGGGGACTGCTGTCTGGCTCTGCTTGGTGTTTTTATTTCCAGCCTGGCCTGGTGATGACTCCTGGCACTGTCCCTGCAACAGGGCTGGGTGTCTCTGAGCTCCCTGGGGCATGCCAGGCTGGCTAAACCGGCTGTGGCAGAGCTGGTGCTGAGCCTTCCTGTGGGGCAGGAGAGGAGGAGCTGCACCAGGGCTGTGGCATGAACTTCCTTCCTGAAGGAAACCCAAAATGCCCCCACCCCGCCCCAAATGGCATGTGGCTAAAGCCTGTTTTCGGGGAGGAGCTCTTGGGTGTGTGTGCATCTGATGGAGGGGAAAAATGTTTGAAATTCCTGCCTTGGTTGGGTTCTTCTCTCTGGAGAGCCCTTCCCAAACATACCCGTCACAGAATCCCAGAATCATCTTGGCTGGAAAAGCCCCTGAAGCTCCTCCAGCCCAACTAGGACCCTCCCCCTGACCGTTCCCAACTCCCCCAGGTCCCTCAGCGCTGGCTCAGCCCGACTCTTCAACCCCTCCAGGGATCCCGGGGACTCCCCCCTGCCCTGGGCAGCCCATTCCAACGCCCAACACCCCTTTCTGCACAGAAATCCTTCCTCAGAGCCAGCCTGACCCTGCCCTGGGCAGCTTGAGGCCATTCCCTCGGGACCTGGTGCTGGTTCGTTGGGTCAAAAAACCTGTTGTTGGAAGTGAACACTGCAGAGCACACGGGATGGAGGGCATGATTGCTCTCCCTCCCGTTGGGAAGGTTTAATCCGAGTGTTTCTTGCCTCCCAGCTTTCTCCCAGATGGGCTATAACCTGAGCCCCCAGTTTAGCCAGCTGCTGCTGGCCCGCTATGCCCCGCGATCCTCCAACCCCAGCATCCAGCTCGACCGCTTCATCCAGATCTGCATGCAGCTGCAGAGCACGACCGACGCCTTCCGCGAGAAGGACACGGGGCTGGTGGGCAACGTGCGGCTGAGCTATGAGGACTTCCTCACCATGGTGGTGACTCGCATGATGTGACGAGGGCTGCGAGCCGGCCGGGGACTCTCCAGGAGCAGCAGCCATCCTCATCCTCACGCTGGGCTGTGGGTGAACCCCTCCAAAGAGCAAGCTGCTTCCCCCGGGCCGGTTTTCCAGCCTGCTCCACCTGAGGAGCACTGGGACCCTCCCGATGTCGATCCCTCATCCCCACTCGGTGGCAGTGGGTGCCTCTACGCCAAATTGGAGCCTGGTTCTGGGGCCATGCCGCGGAGTGGGGCAGCCAAACCAGTAACCTGTGCCACGTCGCCCTGGGAGTGCTTAGATTTTTTCCTTTGCCCGACACAAAAATGTGCTTAAACATCCCCCCCCTCCATGCTGTTGCTCTGCGTGGGAGAACATCTGCGGTGGAACGTCCCTGTCTCGGCATGTTTTTGGGGACTCTGTTTAAAAAGCAGCGGGAAGGGCACAAGTGGTGCCAGAGCTTGTCCTTGTGTCACCAACAGCCCTTCCTTGCCAGGACCACCTTGGCTTTCTGGGGGCTCTGAGCCCCGTTTCTCTCCGGGCTGCTGGATGTCGCTGCTGTCACACGCAGGATCATCGACACCCCCCAGTTGTTGCCAACATCTGTTTTGATTCGTCTGCCCGAGCCAAACTCGGAAACGGTTTAGAGCTTATTTTTACAGCTTTTGAATAAAAGGCAACGTGCACTGGTCGCTGAGTGGTTTGTGCCTGCTGCGTGGCTCGTGGGGACGCTGCTCTGCCCCCTGTCCGTCCACCCCCAACGGGCGCCAGTGGCCGCTCTGGGTGCAGGGAGGGGACACGGCCCCTGGGTGCTGCTCCCAGCTGCTTTCCTGAAGTTAATTTTTCCACATTTCTTGCAGAAAAGAAGGTGCTGGAGTCTCCTGCTGAGGTACAGGTGAAGGTTTTCAAACGATGGCTGGGTGATTATGCTTTGATTGGCCCCGATGAGAACACGCAGAGGTGCTTTTTGAGACTCGTTGCTACTCTGAATCACCTGCACAGTGGCTGTTGCTGTCTGTGGGCTGTCACCCCTCCTGACCCCATCCTGTCACCCTTGCAGTGGCTGTCACTGCCTGTGCGGGCTGTCACCCTTGCAGTGGCTGTCACTGTCTGTGCAGGCTGTCACCCCTCGAACTCACGCTGTCACCCACACAGTGGCTGTCACTGTCAGCAGGTTGTCGCCCCTTCTGACCCCACACTGTCACCCACGTAGAGGCTGTCGCTGCCTGTGCAGGCTGTCACCCTCCTGCCCTGATGCTGTCACCCGCATGGTGGCTGTCGCTGTCTCTGCGGGCTGTCACCCTCCTGCCCTGACGCTGTCACCCGCACAGGAGCTGTCACTGTCACGGTGCCTGCTGTCACTGTCACGGTGCCTGTTGTCACCCAGCGCACGCAGGTGCAGGCTGGTTCCACGAGGTGGCACCCAACTCCAGCCTTCGCGTACCAGCCCCGTCGGGGGGGGGCGAAAGAAAGAGAGAGGAAACGCAAAGAATAAATAAATTTTTAAAAAGGAATATTACCACTCCGCACCACGGGTCTGCTCAGCTTCCCCACCGCTCCTGTGAGCCCGCGGCGGTGGGACTCGTGGCCATGGTGGCCTTCCTGGCCATGGCGTGACTCTGGTGGCACTTGTGTGGTGGCTATGGGGTGGCCATGGTGGCATTCTGGGCCACATGTGGCACTCCTGGCCATGGGGTGACTCCGGTGGCACTCCTGGCTGTGGGGTGGCCGTGGTGGCACTCCTGGCCACAGTGCCAGCTCTGGTGGCCCGTGTGGCTGCACATGCCTGTGGCGGGTCCAGTGCTGGCTGCTGGCCACCGTCACCGGGAGCCAGCGGGGCCGGAAGGTGCACAATGAGCGGGGCTTTATCTCACCCCGCAGCCCTTCCGGGGGCCACAGCTGGGTGTCGTGTCCCCCCCCCGGGGACAGGTCAGAGAAGGGGCAGCAGGGCCACCTCCCCCCCAACCCTGACTGGGGTTGGGGAAGGCAAACCCCTCCCCCCCCCGGGCACTGAGGCTTCAAAAAGTTTATTTACAAATAATAAAAAGCAAAATAAATACACAAAAAAAAAAATCTTAAAGGTACAGCCCCGGGGGGTTGGAAGGGACAGGGGGGCCCGGGGCTGTGCTGCTGCGTGGTCCCCAGTTGTGGCCCCACCGGGACGGGGGCACTGTGGGGCTGTACCCCCCCTCCCCGCCCCATCCCCG